TGTGGCTGAGTAGTCACCGCGTCTAGTTCTACCGTGGTGTGGCTGAGTGAACACCGCGTCTAGTTCTACCGTGGCTGAGTGAACACCGCGTCTAGTTCTACCGTGGTGTGGCTGAGTTGTCACCGCGTCTAGTTCTACCGTGGTGTGGCTGAGTGAACACCGCGTCTAGTTCTACCGTGGTGTGGCTGAGTTGTCACCGCGTCTAGTTCTACCGTGGTGTGGCTGAGTGAACACCGCGTCTAGTTCTACCGTGGTGTGACTGAGTAGTCACCGCGTCTAGTTCTACCGTGGTGTGGCTGAGTGAACACCGCGTCTAGTTCTACCGTGGTGTGGCTGAGTGAACACCGCGTCTAGTTCTACCGTGGTGTGGCTGAGTGAACACCGCGTCTAGTTCTACCGTGGTGTGGCTGAGTGAACACCGCGTCTAGTTCTACCGTGGTGTGGCTGAGTGAACACCGCGTCTAGTTCTACCGTGGTGTGGCTGAGTGGACACAGCGTCTAGTTCTACCGTGGTGTGGCTGAGTGAACACCACGTCTAGTTCTACCGTGGTGTGGCTGAGTGAACACCGCGTCTAGTTCTACCGTGGCTGAGTGAACACCGCGTCTAGTTCTACCGTGGTGTGGCTGAGTGAACACCGCGTCTAGTTCTACCGTGGTGTGGCTGAGTGAACACCGCGTCTAGTTCTACCGTGGTGTGGCTGAGTAAACACCGCGTCTAGTTCTACCGTGGTGTGGCTGAGTGAACACCGCGTCTAGTTCTACCGTGGTGTGGCTGAGTGAACACCGCGTCTAGTTCTACCGTGGCTGAGTGAACACCGCGTCTAGTTCTACCATGGCTGAGTGAACACCGCGTCTAGTTCTACCGTGGTGTGGCTGAGTAGACACTGCGTCTAGTTCTACCGTGGCGTGGCTGAGTAGTCACCGCGTCTAGTTCTACCGTGGCTGAGTGAACACCGCTTCTAGTTCTACCGTGGTGTGGCTGGATGGACACTATACACTATACACTGCACTATACACTACACTACACTATACACTACACCATACACTATACACTACACTATACACTACACCACACACTACACTACACACTACACTACACACTACACTACACTATACACTACACTATACACTACACTATACACTACACTATACACTACACTATACACTACACTACACACTACGCTACACACTACACTACACACTACACCATACACTACACTATACACTACACTATACACTACACTATACATTACACTACACACTACGCTACACACTACACTACACACTACACCATACACTACACTATACACTACACTATACACTACACTATACACTACACTATACACTACACTACACACTACACTACACACTACACCATACACTACACTATACACTACACTACGCACTACACTACGCACTACACTACACACTACACTACACACTACACTATACACTACACTATACACTACACTATACACTACACTACACACTACACTACACACTACACTACACACTACACTATACACTACACTATACACTACACCACTATACCAAACTGAAGTTCAACTCGCGAACACAGGCACCGGTTTACCTTCTGCTGCTTTTTGGGGCGTTGCTCCCAACTCCACCACCTCCTCCACCACCTCCTTCACCACCTCCTTCACCACCTCCTTCACCACCACCTCCTCCACCTCCTCCACCTCCTCCTCCACCACCACCTCCACCACCTCCTCCACCACCTCCTTCACCACCACCTCCTCCACCTCCTCCACCTCCTCCTCCATGTCCAAATCCACCCGGGGTTCTTTGCTCCTCCTGAGGCTGTACACGAGCCTGTGCAACTGTGCGGAACACATCAGCGTCATCATCATCATCAGCGTCATCATCAGCATCATCAGCAGCACCATCATCATCATCAGCAGCAGTAGCAGCAGCAGCATCATCATCAGCAACATCAACATCATCAGCATCATCATCAGCATCAGCAACATCATCAGCATCATCAGCAGCATCATCAGCATCATCATCAGCAGCAGTAGCAGCAGCATCATCAGCAGCATCATCAGCATTATCATCAGCAGCAGTAGCAGCAGCAGCATCATCATCAGCTCCATCATCATCAGCAGCAGTAGCAGCAGCATTAGCAGCAGCACCATCATCATCAGCATCATCATCAGCAGCAGCACCATCATCAGCATCATCATCAGCATCATCAGCAGCACACATCAGCATCATCAGCATCATCAGCAGCATCATCAATCTGTGTGTATATCTGTGTGTGGGTGTGTGTGTCTATCTATCTGTGTGTGTCTATGTGTGTGTCACTGTGTGTGTGTCTGTGTGTGTCTGTGTGTGTCTATCTGTGTGTGTCTATGTGTGTGTCACTGTGTGTGGGTGTGTGTGTCTATCTATCTGTGTGTGTCTATGTGTGTGTCACTGTGTGTGTCTGTGTCTGTCTATCTGTGTGTGTCCATGTGTGTGTCACTGTGTGTGGGTGTGTGTGTCTATCTGTGTGTGGGGAGTGGTGGGTGTAGTGGTTAGCGCTACGCTGCGCTATGAACCTGGCGACCCGGGATCGATTCCCGCTCACGGCCAACACCACCAGTGACGATTATCTGAACCGGTCCCGGGCCTCCCCTAGGTCGACTCAGCCTCAAATGAGTACCTGGTGCGGTGTGTAAACATCGCCACTAGGGAGACAAAGGCGGTCGGGCGTGGTGCTGGCCACCCACCCCCTCGTGTACCGTTCCGGCCTTCATAGGTGCTCGCTAACAGCACTTGCCCCTACAGTCTGTTAAGGCTATAAGGGGGATCTTAGATCTTTGATCTATCTGTGTGTCTAGCTATCTGTGTGTCTATCTGTGTGTCTACCTGTGTGTCTGTGTGTCTATCTAACTGTGTGTATCTGTGTGTCTGTGTGTCTATCTAACTGTGTGTGTATCTGTGTGTCTGTGTGTCTATCTAACTGTGTGTATCTGTGTATCTGTGTGTCTATCTAACTGTGTGTGTATCTGTGTGTCTGTGTGTCTATCTAACTGTGTGTGTATCTGTGTGTCTACCTGTGTGTCTGTGTGTCTATCTAGCTGTGTGTGTATCTGTGTGTTTGTGTGTCTATCTAACTGTGTGTGTATCTGTGTGTCTGTGTGTCTATCTAACTGTGTGTGTACCTGTGTGTATCTGTGTGTCTGTGTGTCTATCTAGCTGTGTGTGTATCTGTATGTCTACCTGTGTGTCTGTGTGTCTATCTAACTGTATGTGTATCTGTGTGTCTGTGTGTCTATCTAACTGTGTGTGTATCTGTGTGTCTATCTAACTGTGTGTGTATCTGTGTGTCTGTGTGTCTATCTAACTGTGTGTGTACCTGTGTGTATCTGTGTGTCTGTGTGTCTATCTAGCTGTGTGTGTATCTGTATGTCTACCTGTGTGTCTGTGTGTCTATCTAACTGTATGTGTATCTGTGTGTCTGTGTGTCTATCTAACTGTGTGTGTATCTGTGTGTCTGTGTGTCTATCTAACTGTGTGTGTATCTGTGTGTCTACCTGTGTGTCTGTGTGTCTATCTAACTGTGTGTGTATCTGTGTGTCTGTGTGTCTATCTAACTGTGTGTGTATCTGTGTGTCTACCTATGTGTCTGTGTGTCTATCTAACTGTGTGTCTATCTGTGTGTCTACCTATGTGTCTGTGTGTCTATCTAACTGTGTGTGTATCTGTGTGTCTGTGTGTCTATCTAACTGTGTGTGTATCTGTGTATCTGTGTGTCTATCTAACTGTGTGTGTATCTGTGTGTCTGTGTGTCTATCTAACTGTGTGTGTGTCTGTGTGTCTATCTAACTGTGTGTGTATCTGCGTGTCTACCTGTGTGTCTGTGTGTCTATCTAACTGTGTGTGTATCTGTGTGTCTGTGTGTCTATCTAACTGTGTGTATCTGTGTGTCTGTGTGTCTATCTAACTGTGTGTGTAACTGTGTATCTGTGTGTCTGTGTGTCTATATAACTGTGTGTGTAACTGTTTGTCTACCTGTGTGTCTGTGTGTCTATCTACCTGTGTGTGTACCTGTGTGTCTGTGTGTCTGTGTGTCTATCTAACTGTGTGTGTATCTGTGTGTCTGTGTGTCTATCTAACTGTGTGTGTATCTGTGTGTCTACCTGTGTGTCTGTGTGTCTATCTAACTGTGTGTATCTGTGTGTCTGTGTGTCTATCTAACTGTGTGTATCTGTGTGTCTACCTGTGTGTCTGTGTGTCTATCTAACTGTGTGTCTATCTGTGTGTCTGTGTGTCTATCTAACTGTGTGTATCTGTGTGTCTACCTATGTGTCTGTGTGTCTATCTAACTGTGTGTGTATCTGTGTGTCTGTGTGTCTATCTAACTGTGTGTATCTGTGTGTCTACCTATGTGTCTGTGTGTCTATCTAACTGTGTGTGTATCTGTGTGTCTGTGTGTCTATCTAACTGTGTGTGTATCTGTGTGTCTACCTATGTGTCTGTGTGTCTATCTAACTGTGTGTGTATCTGTGTATCTGTGTGTCTATCTAACTGTGTGTGTATCTGTGTGTCTGTGTGTCTATATAACTGTGTGTGTAACTGTTTGTCTACCTGTGTGTCTGTGTGTCTATCTAACTGTGTGTCTATCTGTGTGTCTACCTATGTGTCTGTGTGTCTATCTAACTGTGTGTCTACCTATGTGTCTGTGTGTCTATCTAACTGTGTGTATCTGTGTGTCTACCTATGTGTCTGTGTGTCTATCTAACTGTGTGTCTACCTGTGTGTCTGTGTGTCTATCTAACTGTGTGTCTATCTGTGTGTCTACCTATGTGTCTGTGTGTCTATCTAACTGTGTGTCTACCTGTGTGTCTGTGTGTCTATCTAACTGTGTGTCTATCTGTGTGTCTACCTATGTGTCTGTGTGTCTATCTAACTGTGTGTCTACCTGTGTGTCTGTGTGTCTATCTAACTGTGTGTCTATCTGTGTGTCTACCTATGTGTCTGTGTGTCTATCTAACTGTGTGTGTATCTGTGTGTCTGTGTGTCTATCTAACTGTGTGTCTATCTGTGTGTCTACCTATGTGTCTGTGTGTCTATCTAACTGTGTGTGTATCTGTGTGTCTGTGTGTCTATCTAACTGTGTGTCTATCTGTGTGTCTACCTATGTGTCTGTGTGTCTATCTAACTGTGTGTGTATCTGTGTGTCTGTGTGTCTATCTAACTGTGTGTCTATCTGTGTATCTGTGTGTCTATCTAACTGTGTGTCTACCTGTGTGTCTATCTAACTGTGTGTGTATCTGTGTGTCTGTGTGTCTATATAACTGTGTGTGTATCTGTGTGTCTGTGTGTCTATATAACTGTGTGTCTATCTGTGTGTCTACCTATGTGTCTGTGTGTCTATCTAACTGTGTGTGTATCTGTGTGTCTGTGTGTCTATCTAACTGTGTGTGTATCTGTGTGTCTGTGTGTCTATCTAGCTGTGTGTGTATCTGTGTGTCTGTGTGTCTATATAACTGTGTGTGTATCTGTGTGTCTGTGTGTCTATATAACTGTGTGTCTATCTGTGTGTCTACCTATGTGTCTGTGTGTCTATCTAACTGTGTGTGTATCTGTGTGTCTGTGTGTCTATCTAACTGTGTGTGTATCTGTGTGTCTGTGTGTCTATCTGTGTGTGTATCTGTGTGTCTACCTGTGTGTGTGTCTATCTAACTGTGTGTGTACCTGTGTGTCTACCTGTGTGTTTGTGTGTCTATCTAACTGTGTGTGTATCTGTGTGTCTACCTGTGTGTCTATCTAACTGTGTGTATCTGTGTGTCTACCTGTGTGTCTGTGTGTCTATCTAACTGTGTGTGTATCTGTGTGTCTGTGTGTCTATCTAACTGTGTGTGTATCTGTGTCTGTGTGTCTATCTAACTGTGTGTGTATCTGTGTGTCTGTGTGTCTATCTAACTGTGTGTGTATCTGTGTGTCTATCTGTGTGTCTGTGTGTCTATCTAACTGTGTGTGTATCTGTGTGTCTGTGTGTCTATCTAACTGTGTGTATCTGTGTGTCTGTGTGTCTATCTAACTGTGTGTGTATCTGTGTGTCTATCTGTGTGTCTGTGTGTCTATCTAACTGTGTGTCTATCTGTGTGTCTGTGTGTCTATCTAACTGTGTGTGTATCTGTGTGTCTGTGTGTCTATCTAACTGTGTGTATCTGTGTGTCTGTGTGTCTATCTAACTGTGTGTGTATCTGTGTGTCTATCTGTGTGTCTGTGTGTCTATCTAACTGTGTGTGTATCTGTGTGTCTGTGTGTCTATCTAACTGTGTGTGTAACTGTGTATCTCTGTGTCTGTGTGTCTATCTAACTGTGTGTGTATCTGTGTGTCTGTGTGTCTATCTAACTGTGTGTATCTGTATGTCTACCTATGTGTCTGTGTGTCTATCTAACTGTGTGTGTATCTGTGTGTCTGTGTGTCTATCTAACTGTGTGTGTATCTGTGTGTCTGTGTGTCTATCTAACTGTGTGTGTATCTGTGTGTCTACCTGTGTGTCTGTGTGTCTATCTACCTGTGTGTGTATCTGTGTGTCTGTGTGTCTATCTAACTGTGTGTGTATCTGTGTGTCTGTGTGTCTATCTAACTGTGTGTGTATCTGTGTGTCTGTGTGTCTATCTAACTGTGTGTGTATCTGTGTGTCTATCTGTGTGTCTGTGTGTCTATCTAACTGTGTGTATCTGTGTGTCTGTGTGTCTATCTAACTGTGTGTATCTGTGTGTCTGTGTGTCTATCTAACTGTGTGTGTAACTGTGTGTCTACCTGTGTTTCTGTGTGTCTATCTAACTGTGTGTCTATCTATGTGTCTACCTATGTGTCTGTGTGTCTATCTAACTGTGTGTGTATCCCACTACAAAACAACCCCCTACCTCCTCGTGGTGCCGGGGAGCAACTCTGTCGTGGACAATGCTGTGGGGGGAGGGCCAATTCCGATTGGCCTCTCCCCTCAGGGCGTCTGTGTCCACCACAGTGGCTAAACGGGAGCTCTGGACGGGTGCGAGGGGCTGGTAACCCCTCCACCTTCAATTAATTACCACTAAACCACGACTAAAATATCTCATTTATTAGCTTGTGCCGGAGACCCCGGGGGGGGCAGGCGTCTAAGACGTCTCCTGGTCAAACCCCAATTGGCGGAGCCAGGGGATTGAATCTCTACCCTCGGGGCTCCTCCAGATACAACAAAAAGCCACTTCGCGTGGCCACGTGGAATGTTCGAACGCTCACTGTGGAGGAGAGGCTGCCACTCCTCTGTCGGGAGCTGGACCGGTACCGCCTGGATCTCTGCGGTATTCAGGAGGTCCGGTGGACTGGCTCTGGGCTTGTAATTACCAACACGCTGTTCCGGCATCGGCGCATCCACACAACATCATGGATGCATGCCGGGTCCAAGCAAGAACATCTGCTGGACTACATAGTGATGGACCAGCGGATGCGAGCCCATGTCCTTGACACCAGGACCTACTGTGGAGCTGATCTGCCCACTGACCATCGACTAGTCATCTGTAAGATGCGCCTGCCATTCTTCCACTCCGGTGGTGGGTGTACACCCAGGACCCCATTCCAACCTAAAGTGGCCTGGTCTCAGTTATCTGATGAAAGTTGCAAGCGAGAATTTCATCATCGCTTGCAGCTGGGATTGGCATTGTCCCCGACTCCTCCTGATGTCGAGGGTAAATGGGCGAGGTTTAGGACTGTGACTCATGCAGCTGCAATGGCTGCTTTGGGTACGCGGTCCAGACCTCCCCAGAGACCTTGGCTGACAGAGGAGGTGTTCAGGATGGTTGAGAAAAAGCGACAGGCCCACTGTCATCGGCTACAGAATCCCACGTCGAGAATGAGGAGGCTTACCGCAGCCTTCGCTCGGAGGTTCGGAGAGCCGTGAGGCGCTGCAAGGATGGGTGGTGGTCGCGGGTTGCTGAGGAGATGGAGTCTGCCTCAGTGGCTCGCCATCACAAATCTCTATTTAACGCCATCATAAAATTAACCTGCAGCGCCACACCTATTACCATCATTAGGGGAAAGAACGGTGATCAAATCTCCGACAGCCCAGGAACAGGTTTGCAGATTTGCTGAGTATTTCTGTGAGGTCCTGGGGGAGGGGAAATCCCTCAGCCTGACCCTGCTGAGGCTGCGGTGCCTCAAATATTGGAAGAAGAAGTCACCCCCTGTGAGTGGCTGGCTGAGGTGCCATCTGTTGAGGAAGTACTGCAGGCGATCCAGAGTCTGTGACCAGGAAAGGCACCGGGCAGAGATGATCTCTCAAGCGAAATGCTGAGGGAGGGTGGCGTTTGTGCACAGACTGCCCTATATGACAGCATAACAGTCTGGACCACTGGACGGGTTTTCCAGAATTGGAAGGATGCCCTGGTGGTCCCCCTCTTTAAGAAGGGGGACCGCACAGACTGTAACAACGACAGGGGCATCTCACTCTTCAGTGTGCCGGGAAAGGTCCTGGCAAGGATTATTCAACATCACCTGCACAGATGCCATATTTTCTGTCCGTCTACGACAGTAGAGGTGTAGGGAATTCCAACAAGACCTACATCTCTGCTTTATTGACCTGGTCAAGGCCTATTATACCATCAGTAGGCCTGGGCACGAGACTTTGTGATTTAGAGTCCCTGACCCTCTGCTCACGATCATTAAGGACCTTCATGATGGTGAGCGTGCCCGAGTAAAACTACGTGGACGGGAGTCCGAGCCATTCCCTGTACACCTTGGTGTGCGACAGGGATGTCCTCTGGCTCCCACATTATTTAACATCTATTTTGACCACGTAGTTCGTGAAGCCTTCAATAGCTGTACCGGGGGAATCTGCATATGGTACAGATATAATGGGAGGCTGATCGATGCCCGGGTGCGGTCAAGGGATGGCTCCCTATTGCTCAACCACGTTATGTATGTCGATGATTTGGTAATAACTGCTCATTCAGTGGAGGAGGTGGAGACGCTGCTGCTGAGACTGGAGCGTGCCACTCAGAGATGGGGCCTTACCATCAGCCCCACCAAAACTAAGCACCTGCCTGGGTATTTTGTACCATCGGACACTCCACCCCCACAACTCCCAATTGGTGATAGGGCAGTTGTGGAGAGAGTGGAGAGTGTCCCATACCTGGGCAGTGTGCTCATGACCGGCTCCGGTTTAACAGCAGAGGTTTCACTCTGAATCAGTCGAGCGGCAATATCTTTTCATCGGTTGCGTATCGCTGTGTGGAAGCTACCTGGTCTGTCGCTCCGCACTAAGCTTCATGTCTTCTCGGCCACAGTCATTCCCTCCCTTCTCTACGCTTGCAAAACATGTACCCCCCTAATGGAACACCTTCGCCAGTTAGAAACATTTAGGCTGGCCTGCCTACGATCCATCCTGGGTTTAACCAGGCTGAATTGTGTGAAGAGCTCACAAATCCTTGAAAGATCTGGACAAAGTTTCATCGGTGAGCTCCTCTGGCAGGCAAGGCTGCGATGGCTGGGTCATGTAGCCCGCATGCCCAGCCACCGCATGCCGAAACAGCTTTTGTTCGGCCGGATCGAGGGGGCTAAACGGGCGCGGCACGGGCTAGAGAAGAGATGGAGTGATGTGGTACAGGAGGACGTGGAGCTGAGTGGACTTGCCGATTACCGGTACCAGCGGTGTCAAGATCGGCCTCTGTGCAGGAGGAGGCTCGTGAAGGACGCCGCTACTGGGCACTTGGGAGGCAGTCGCCCTCCAACAACAACGGAGGGCGGAGGAGCGACGCTCACAACAACGAGCGGAGCGCCGGGGGGACTAAAGCACAGCAGCTTGGCACAGTAGGGGGGGCACAGTTGGTGCATCAGCCACAGTCATCTCAGTCAGTCGACCCGTGGCAACCTGCTGGGTCTGCCCCCGTGACCTCCTGCCAGCGGGCGTTCGACACCTCGCGTGGTAGCCTCAAGGTGCACGTGGCCTGGCACAAGCGTCGCGGCGACGTCACCGCCGCTTAGTTGGCGAATGGCGCCTGCTGCTGCTGCTGCTGCTGCTGTTGTTGTTGATGTTGTTGATGTTGTTGTGCCTCACTCACGTGCTTGTCGGCGATGGGCTCCGTGAGCAGGGACACGACCATCGCCACGAGACCCGTGGCAACGAAGAGAATCAGAGCAAAGTAGAGGTAGTGCAGTCGGCACACCAGCGCCGGGCACGTCGAGGCGGTGGAGGATTGTTGGACACAACTCCGGGAGCCGTAGATGAAGCCGGCGATGAGACGGGACAGGCCCAGCGCCAGGCCGAACATTAGGCCCCAGAAGGCACCCTGAGAGAGGGGGGGGGGGGAGTGGGGGGGATGGGGTGGGGGAGGTGGGGGTGGAGGGGGATGGTGGGTGGAGAGGGATGGTTGGTGGAGATGGTGGGTGGAGAGTGAGATGGTGGGTGGAGATGGTGGAGAGAGATGGTGGGTGGAGATGGTGGAGAGAGATGGTGGGTGGAGATGGTGGAGAGAGATGGTGGGTGGAGATGGTGGAGGAGGGGGTTGAGAGTGAGATGGTGGAGAGGGATGGTTGGTGGAGATGGTGGGTGGAGAGTGAGATGGTGGGTGGAGATGGTGGAGAGAGATGGTGGGTGGAGATGGTGGAGGAGGGGGTTGAGAGTGAGATGGTGGAGAGGGATGGTTGGTGGAGATGGTGGGTGGAGAGTGAGATGGTGGGTGGAGATGGTGGAGAGGGATGGTGGGTGGAGATGGTGGGTTCGGAGAGGGGTGGGTTGAGAGTGAGATGGTGGAGAGGGATGGTGGGTGGAGATGGTGGGTAGAGATGGTGGGTGGAGATGGTGGAGAGAGATGGTGGGTTGAGAGTGAGATGGTGGAGAGGGATGGTGGGTGGAGATGGTGGGTTCGGAGAGGGGTGGGTTGAGAGTGAGATGGTGGAGAGGGATGGTGGGTGGAGATGGTGGGTAGAGATGGTGGGTGGAGATGGTGGAGAGAGATGGTGGGTTGAGAGTGAGATGGTGGAGAGAGATGGTGGGTGGAGATGGTGGGTGGAGATGGTGGGTTCGGAGAGGGGTGGGTTGAGAGTGAGATGTGAGAGAGATGGTGGAGATGGTGGAGATGGTGGGTGGAGATGGTGGGTGGAGATGGTGGGTAGAGATGGTGGGTGGAGATGGTGGGTGGAGATGGTGGGTTCTGAGAGGGGTGGGTGGAGAGATGGTGGGTGGAGATGGTGGGTGGAGATGGTGGAGAGAGATGGTGGAGATGGTAGAGATGGTGAGTGGAGATGGTGGGTGGAGATAGAGTGAGATGGTGAGAGAGATGGTGGAGAGAGATGGTGGAGAGAGATGGTGGGTGGAGATGGTGGGTGGAGATGGTGGGTTCGGAGAGGGGTGGGTTGAGAGTGAGATGGTGGAGAGATGGTGGAGAGAGATGGTGGAGAGAGATGGTGGGTGGAGATGGTGGGTGGAGAGAGATGGTGGGTGGAGATGGTGGGTGGAGAGAGATGGTGGGTGGAGATGGTGGGTGGAGATGGTGGGTGGAGATGGTGGGTGGAGAGTGAGATGGTGGGTGGAGATGGTGAGAGAGATGGTGGTTGGAGATGGTGGGTGGAGATGGTGGGTTCGGAGGGGGGTGGGTTGAGAGTGAGATGGTGAGAGAGATGGTGGAGATGGTAGAGATGGTGGGTGGAGATGGTGGGTGGAGATGGTGGGTGGAGATGGTGGAGAGAGATGGTGAATGGAGATGGTGGGTGGAGATGGTGGGTTCGGAGAGGGGTGGGTTGAGAGTGAGATGGTGGAGAGATGGTGGAGAGAGATGGTGGGTGGAGATGGTGGGTGGAGATGGTGGGTGGAGAGTGAGATGGTGGGTGGAGATGGTGAGAGAGATGGTGGGTGGAGATGGTGGGTGGAGATGGTGGGTTCGGAGGGGGGTGGGTTGAGAGTGAGATGGTGAGAGAGATGGTGGAGATGGTAGAGATGGTGGGTGGAGATGGTGGGTGGAGATGGTGGAGAGAGATGGTGAATGGAGATGGTGGGTGGAGATGGTGGAGAGAGATGGAGATGGTGGGTGGAGATGGTGGAGAGAGATGGTGGGTGGAGATGGTGGAGAGAGATGGTGGGTGGAGATGGTGGAGAGAGATGGTGGGTGGAGATGGTGGGTGGAGATGGTGGAGAGAGATGGTGGGTGGAGATGGTGGGTGGAGATGGTGGGTTGAGAGTGGGATGGTGGAGAGAGATGGTGGGTGGAGATGGTGGGTGGAGATGGTGGGTGGAGATGGTGGAGAGAGATAGTGGAGAGAGATGGTGGGTGGAGATGGTGGGTGGAGATGGTGAGAGAGATGGTGAGAGAGATGGTGGAGAGAGATGGTGGGTGGAGATGGTGGGTGGTGATGGTGGAGAGAGATAGTGGAGAGAGATGGTGGGTGGAGATGGTGGGTGGAGATGGTGAGAGAGATGGTGAGAGAGATGGTGGAGAGAGATGATGGGTGGAGATGGTGGGTGGAGATGGTGAGAGAGATGGTGAGAGAGATGGTGGAGAGAGATGGTGGGTGGAGATGGTGGGTGGAGATGGTGGAGAGAGATGGTGGGTGGAGATGGGTGGAGAGTGAGATGGTGGAGAGAGATGGTGGGTGGAGATGGTGGGTGGAGATGGTGGGTGGAGATGGTGGAGAGAGATGGTGGGTGGAGATGGTGGGTGGAGATGGTGGGTGGAGATGGTGGGTGGAGATGGTGGGTGGAGAGTGAGATGGTGGGTGGAGATGGTGAGAGAGATGGTGGGTGGAGATGGTGGGTGGAGATGGTGGGTTCGGAGGGGGGTGGGTTGAGAGTGAGATGGTGAGAGAGATGGTGGAGATGGTAGAGATGGTGGGTGGAGATGGTGGGTGGAGATGGTGGGTGGAGATGGTGGAGAGAGATGGTGAATGGAGATGGTGGGTGGAGATGGTGGAGAGAGATGGTGAATGGAGATGGTGGGTGGAGATGGTGGAGAGAGATGGTGGGTGGAGATGGTGGAGAGAGATGGTGGGTGGAGATGGTGGAGAGAGATGGTGGGTGGAGATGGTGGGTGGAGATGGTGGAGAGAGATGGTGGGTGGAGATGGTGGGTGGAGATGGTGGGTTGAGAGTGAGATGGTGGAGAGAGATGGTGGGTGGAGATGGTGGGTGGAGATGGTGGGTGGAGATGGTGGAGAGAGATAGTGGAGAGAGATGGTGGGTGGAGATGGTGGGTGGAGATGGTGAGAGAGATGGTGAGAGAGATGGTGGAGAGAGATGGTGGGTGGAGATGGTGGGTGGTGATGGTGGAGAGAGATAGTGGAGAGAGATGGTGGGTGGAGATGGTGGGTGGAGATGGTGAGAGAGATGGTGAGAGAGATGGTGGAGAGAGATGATGGGTGGAGATGGTGGGTGGAGATGGTGAGAGAGATGGTGAGAGAGATGGTGGAGAGAGATGGTGGGTGGAGATGGTGGGTGGAGATGGTGGAGAGAGATGGTGGGTGGAGATGGGTGGAGAGTGAGATGGTGGAGAGAGATGGTGGGTGGAGATGGTGGGTGGAGATGGTGGGTGGAGATGGTGGAGAGAGATGGTGGGTGGAGATGGTGGGTGGAGATGGTGAGTGGAGATGGTGGAGAGAGATGGTGAATGGAGATGGTGGGTTGAGAGTGAGATGGTGGAGAGAGATTGTGGGTGGAGAGAGATGGTGGGTGGGGATGGTGGGTGGAGATGGTGAGTGGAGATGGTGGAGAGAGATGGTGGGTGGAGATGGTGGGTGGAGATGGTGGAGAGAGATGGTGGGTGGAGATGGTGGGTGGAGATGGTGCGTGGAGATGGTGGAGAGAGATGGTGAATGGAGAAGGTGGGTTGAGAGTGAGATGGTGGAGAGAGATTGTGGGTGGAGAGAGATGGTGGGTGGGGATGGTGGGTGGAGATGGTGGGTGGAGATGGTGGGTTCGGAGAGGGATGGGTTGAGAGTCAAATGGTGGAGAGAGATTGTGGGTGGAGAGAGATGGTGGGTGGAGATGGTGGGTGGAGATGGTGGAGAGAGATGGTGGGTGGAAATGGTGGGTGGAGATGGTGGGTGGAGATGGTGGGTGGAAAGTGAGATGGTGGAGAGAGATTGTGGAGAGAGATGGTGGAGAGAGATGGTGGGTGGAGATGGTGGGTGGAGATGGTGGGTGGAGATGGTGGGTTGAGAGTGAGATGGTGGAAAGAGATGGTGGGTGGAGATGGTGGAGAGAGATGGTGGGTGGAGATGGTGGGTGGAGATGGTGGGTGGAGATGGTGGGTGGAGACTGAGATGGTGGAGAGAGAATGTGGAGAGAGATGGTGGGTGGAAATGGTGGGTGGAGATGGTGGAGAGAGATGGTGGGTGGAGATGGTGGGTGGAGATGGTGGGTGGAGAGTGAGATGGTGGAGAGAGATTGTGGAGAGAGATGGTGGGTGGAGATGGTGGGTGGAGATGGTGGGTGGAGAGTGAGATGGTGGGTGGAGATGGTGAGAGAGATGGTGGGTGGAGATGGTGGGTGGAGATGGTGGGTGGAGATGGTGGGTTGAGAGTGAGATGGTGGAGAGAGATGGTGGGTGGAGATGGTGAGTGAGATGGTGAGGGAGATGGTGAGGGAGATGGTGAGAGAGATGGTGGGTGGAGGTGGAGAGAGAGATGGTGGAGAGAGATGGTGGAGAGAGATGGTGAGAGAGATGGTGGGTGGAGATGGTGGGTGGAGATGGTGGGTGGAGAGTGAGATGGTGGAGAGAGATGGTGGGTGGAGATGGAGGAGAGAGATGGTTGGTGGAGATGGTGGGTGGAGATGGTGGAGAGAGAGATGGTGGGTGGAGATGGTGGGTGGAGATGGTGGGTGGAGATGGTGGGTGGAGATGTTGAGACATGAGTCTGTGTCTCTCTCTCCCAGTAGTGAGATGTTGACTGCCTCGAATGGCATACAGGTGAGATGTTGACTACCTCGCCTGGCCTACAGGTGAGATGTTGACTACCTCGCCTGGCCTACAGGTGAGATGTTGACTACCTCGCCTGGCCTACAGGTGAGACGTTGACTACCTCGCCTGGCCTACAGGTGAGATGTTGACTACCTCGCCTGGCCTACAGGTGAGATGTTGACTACCTCGCCCGGCCTACAGGTGAGACGTTGACTACCTCGCCTGGCCTACAGGTGAGATGTTGACTACCTCGCCTGTTCTACAGGTGAGACGTTGACTACCTCGCCCGGTCTACAGGTGAGATGTTGACTACCTTGCCTGTCCAACAGGTGAGATGTTGACTACCTCGCCTGGTCTACAGGTGAGATGTTGACTACCTCGCCTGGCCTACAGGTGAGATGTTGACTACCTCACCTGGCCTACAGGTGAGATGTTGACTACCTCGCCAGGTATAAAGGTGAGATGTTGACTACCTCGCCTGGCCTACAGGTGAGATGTTGACTACCTCACCCGGCCTACAGGTGAGACGTTGACTACCTCGCCTGGCCTACAGGTGAGATGTTGACTGCCTCGCCTGGCCTACAGGTGAGATGTTGACTACCTCGCCTGGTCTACCAGGTGAGATGTTGACTACCTCGCCTGGTCTACCAGGTGAGATGTTGACTACCTCGCCAGGTATACAGGTGAGATGTTGACTACCTCGCCTGGCCTACAGGTGAGATGTTCACTACCTCGCCTGGCCTACAGGTGAGATGTTGACTACCTCGCCTAGCCTACAGGTGAGATGTTGACTACCTCGCCCGGCCTACAGGTGAGATGTTGACTACCTCGCCCGGCCTACATGTGAGACGTTGACTACCTCGCCCGGCCTACAGGTGAGATGTTGACTACCTCGCCTGGTCTACAGGTGAGATGTTGACTACCTCGCCTGTCCAACAGGTGAGATGTTGACTACCTCGCCTGGTCTACAGGTGAGATGTTGACTACCTCGCCTGGCCTACAGGTGAGATGTTCACTACCTCGCCTGGCCTACAGGTGAGATGTTGACTACCTCGCCTAGCCTACAGGTGAGATGTTGACTACCTCGTCCGCCCTACAGGTGAGATGTTGACTACCTCGCCTGGTCTACAGGTGAGATGTTTACTACCTCGCCTGGTCTAGGTGAGATGTTGACTACCTCGCCTGGCCTACAGGTGAGATGTTGACTACCTCGTCAGGTATACAGGTGAGAAGTTGACTACCTCGCCTGGCCTACAGGTGAGATGTTGACTACCTCGCCCGGCCTACAGGTGAGATGTTGACTACCTCGCCCGGCCTACACGAGGCTGTCTCCCTCACCGGCTCGTTGACCCGTTTGGCGAACATTCCGAGGCAGAACACGGCGGCGATGGGCGGAGCGAGGAAGCTCGTCACGGACTGGATGTAGTCAAAGAGCTGCCCGCTCTGGGCAGCCTGGACCACGGGGATCCAGGAAATGCTGACGGCAACGATGAACAGCACCCAGATTCTGGTGTGTGTGTGTGCCCGCACACACAGACACACACACACAGACACACACACACAGATACACACACACAGATATACACACAGACACACACAGATATACATACACAGATATACACACAGACACACGTAGATATACACACACAGATATACACACACACAGATATACACACAAACACACAGACACACACACACACAGATACACACACATACACACACAGACACACACACAGACACACACACACAGATATACACACACAGACACACACACACAGATATACACACAGATACACACACAAAGACACACACAGATATATACACACACAGACACACACACAGATATACACACAGACACACACAGACACACACAGATATACACACACAGACACACAGACACACACACACACAGATACACACACACATACACACACAGACACACACACAGACACACACACACAGATATACACACAGATATACACACAGACACACACAGATATATACACACACAGACACACACACAGATATACACACAGACACACACACACAGATATACACACAGACACACACAGATATACACACACAGACGCACAGACACACACACACACAGATACACACACATACACACACAGACACACACACAGACACACACACAGATATACACACAGATATACACACACAGACACACACACAGACACACACACAGATATACACACAGACACACAGATATATACACACACAGACACACACACAGATATACACACAGACACACACACAGATATACACACAGACACACACAGACACACACAGATATACACACACAGACACACAGACACACACACACACAGATACACACACATACACACACAGACACACACACAGACACACACACAGATATACACACAGATATACACACACAGACACACACAGATATACACACAGACACACACAGATATATACACACACAGACACACACACAGATATACACACAGACACACACACAGATATACACACAGACACACACAGACACACACAGATATACACACACAGACACACACACAGACACACACACAGATATACACACAGATACACACACACAGATATACACACAGACACACACAGACACACACAGATATACACACAGAGACACATACACAGACACACACACAGATATACACACAGATATACACACACACAGACACACACACAGATATACACACAGACACACAAAGGATGTACGCACACCCACTCACCCACCCACTCAGACACCCACCCACCCACCCACGCACCCACCCACACACCCACCCACTCACCCACACACCCACCCACCCCCTCACTCACCCACCCACTCACCCACCCACTCTACCCCCCACCCACCTTCCCACCAGCATGAGTTCACGATCGCGAGCGTGTGGGCGAAGTCTCCGCCACACGTCCATCGTGAAGATGGTGCTGCTGCTGTTGAAGATCGATGCGAGGGACGACATGAGGGCTGCCAGCATCACGGCCAGCATGAGGCCACGCAGGCCTGCAGGAGGACACAACAACATCAACAACATCAACAACATCAACAACATCAATAACATCAACAACATCAACAACATCAACAACATCAACAATAACAACATCAACAACATCAACAACAACAACATCAACAACATCAACATCACATCAACAACAACATCAACAACAACATCAACAACAACATCAACAACATCACATCAACAACATCAACAACAACAACATCAACAACATCATCAACAACATCAACAACAACATCAACAACAACATCAACAACAACATCAACAACATCATCAACATCAACAATAACATCAACAACAACAACACCAACAACATCATCAACATCATCATCAACAGCATCAACAACATCAACAACATCAACAACAACATCATCAACAACAACAACATCATCAACAACATCAACAACAACATCAACAACAACACCAACAACATCATCAACATCATCATCAACAACATCAACAACATCAACAACATCACATCAACAACATCATCAACAACATCAACAACATCAACAACATCAACAACATCACATCAACAACATCAACAACAACATCACATCAACAACATCAACAACACCAACAACATAATCAACAACATGGGGCTGGATGGGGTGGGGCTGTGTGTGTCTGGCAAAACAAAACCCTACCTCCTCGCGGTGCCGGACGGGCAACTCTGTCGTGGACAGTGCTGTGGGGGGAGATCCAATTTTGATTGGCTCCTCCCCTCATGGCGTCTGTGTCCACCACAGGGGCTAAACGGGGGCTCTGGACAGGTGCGAGGGGCTGGCAACCCCTCCACCTTCAATTAATTACCACGAAACCACGAGTTAAACTGAAATATATAACTAATAAGCTTGTGCCGGAGGCCCCGGGGGGCCAGGCGTCTATGACGTCTCCTGGCCAAACCCCAATTGGCGGAGCCAGGAGATTGAATACCTACCCTCGGGGCTACTCCAGAAACAACGAAAAGCCACTACGTGTGGCCACGTGGAATGTTCGAACGCTCACTGCGGAGGAGAGGCTGCCACTCCTCTGTCGGGAGCTGGACCGGTACCGCCTGGATCTATGTAGCATTCAGGAAGTCCAGAGGACCGGCTCTGGCTCCTGCCACCATGAGGGGTGGACAGTCCTCTACTCGGGGCAGCAGACTGCCAGACAACAGGGTGTGGCTCTTCTTTTGAACAAAAAAATGAAGGGGGCGTGGGAGCGTGGCGGTGAGGTGTGGGGAGCTGTAAGCCCCAGGCTACTTTGGGCTCGCCTTCCCATCAACCGGAGGCGAGGAATGGTGGTCGTGGTTACTTATGCCCCCACCGAAGATGAACATCCGTGGAGGGATGCAGGCAAAGCCAATGAGTCAGATGCCTTCTATGACCTCCTGTCACAGGTGCTGGCTAAAGTGGCCCCTCGGGATAGAGTCATCATGTTGGGTGATTTCAATGCCCGAGTTGGTCATGATACTGGCACCTGGTCTGGAGTGATTGGAGGGCATGGGCCAGATCAGCTCAATAACAACGGTAGGAGGCTGCTAGATTTTTGTGCAGCCCATGGGCTTGTAATTACCAACACGCTGTTCCGGCATCGGCGCATCCACACAACATCATGGATGCATGCCGGGTCCAGGCAAGACCATCTGCTGGTCTACCTAGTGACGGACCAGCGGATGCGAGCCCATGTCCTTGACACCAGGACCTACCGTGGAGCTGATCTGCCCTCTGACCATCGACTAGTCATCTGTAAGATGCGCCTGCCATTCTTCCACTCCGGTGGTGGGTGTACACCCAGGACCCCATTCCGACCTAAAGTGGCCTGGTCTTAGTTATCTGATGAAAGTTGCAAGCGAGAATTTCATCATCGCTTGCGGCTGGGATTGGCATCGTCCCCGACTCCTTCTGATGTCGAGGGTAAATGGGCGAGGTTTAGGACTGTGACTCATGCAGCTGCAATGGCTGCTTTAGGTACCCGGTCCAGACCTCCCCAGAGACCCTGGCTGACAGAGGAGGTGTTCAGGATGGTTGAGAAAAAGCGACGGGCCCACTGTCATCGGCTACAGAATCCCACGTCAGAGAATGAGGAGGCTTACCGCAGCCTTCGCTCGGAGGTTCGGAGAGCCGTGAGGCGCTGCAAGGATGGGTGGTGGTCGCGGGTTGCTGAGGAGATGGAGTCTGCCTCAGTGGCCCGTGATCACAAATCTCTATTTAACTCCATCAAAAAAGTAACCTGCAGCGCCACACCTATTACCATCATTACGGGAAAAAACGGTGATCCAATCTCCGACCCCCAGGAACAGGTTTGCAGATTTGCTGAGCATTTCTGTGAGGTCCTGGGGGAGGGAAAATCCCTCAGCCAGGAAAACATCGTGGCACAAAGTGAGGATGACCCTGCTGAGGCTGCGGTGCCTCAAATATTGGAAGAAGTCACCCCCTGTGAGTGGCTGGCTGAGGTGCCATCTGTTGAGGAAGTACTGAAGGCGATCCGGCGTCTGAGACCAGGAAAGGCAGCGGGCAGAGATGATCTCCCAAGCGAAATGCTGAGGGAGGGTGGCGTTTGTGCACAGACTGCCCTATATGACATCATAACAACAGTCTGGACCACTGGACGGGTTCCGCAGGATTGGAAGGATGCCCTGGTGGTCCCCCTTTTTAAGAAGGGGGACCGCACAGACTGTAACAACTACAGGGGCATCTCACTCCTCAGTGTGCCGGGAAAGGTCCTGGCAAGGATTATTCATCATCGCCTTGCCAGGCACGCTGAGGAGAGGCTTGCGGAGCCCCAATGCGGTTTCAGGAAAGGGCGGTCCTGCACAGATGCCATATTTTCTGTCCGCCTGCTACAGCAGAGGTGTAGCGAATTCCAACAAAACCTACATCTCTGCTTTATTGACCTGGTCAAGGCCTATGATACCATCAGTAGGCCTGGGCTCTGGGTCGTTCTTCGTGCTTTTGGAGTACCTGACCCTCTGCTCACGATCATGAAGGACCTTCATGATGGTGAGCGGGCCCGGGTAAAACTACGTGGCCGGGAGTCAGAGCCATTCCCTGTACACCTTGGGGTGCGACAGGGATGTCCTCTGGCACCCACATTATTTAACATCTATTTTGACCACGTAGTTCGTGAAGCCTTCAATAGCTGTACCGGGGGAATCTCCATATGGTACAGATATAATGGGAGGCTAATCGATGCCCGGGTGCGGTCAAGGGATGGCTCCCTATTGCTCAACCACGTTATGTATGCTGATGATTTGGTAATAGCTGCTCAGTCAGAGGAGGAGTTGGAGACGCTGGTGCTGAGACTGGAGCGTGCCACTAAGAGGTGGGGCCTTACCATCAGCCCCACCAAAACTAAGCACCTGCCTGGGTATTTTGTACCATCGGACACTCCACCCCCACAACTCCCAATCGGTGATGGGGCAGTTGTGGAGAGAGTGGAGAGTTTCCCATACCTGGGCAGTGTGCTTATGACTGGCTCCAGTTTAACAGCAGAGGTCTCACTCCGAATCAGTCGAGCGGCAATATCTTTTCATCGGTTGCGTAACGCTGTGTGGAAGCTACCTGGTCTGTCGCTCCGCACTAAGCTTCAGGTCTTCTCGGCCACGGTCATTCCCTCCCTTCTCTACGCTTGCGAAGCGTGGACCCCCCTAATGGAACATCTTCGCCGGTTAGAAACATTTAGGCTGGCCTGCCTACGATCCATCCTGGGTTTAACCAGACTGGATTGTGTGAGGAGCTCACAAATCCTTGAAAGATCTGGGCAGGGTCCCATCGGTGAGCTCCTCCGGCAGGCAAGGCTACGATGGCTGGGTCATGTAGCCCGCATGCCCAGCCACCGCATGCCGAAACAGCTTTTGTTTGGCCGGATTGAGGGGGCTAAGCGGGCGCGGCACGGGCTAGAGAAGAGATGAAGTGATGTGGTACAGGAGGACGTAGAGCTGAGTGGACTTGCCGATGACTGGTACCAGCGGCGTCAAGATCGGCCTCTGTGGAGGAGGCTCGTGAAGGATGCTACTGGGCAGTTGGAGGCAGTCGCCCTCCAACAACAACGGAGGGCGGAGGAGCGACGCTCAGAACAACGAGCGGAGCGCCGGGTGGCTAAAGCACAGCAGGTTGGCACAGTAGCGGGCACAGGTGGTGCATCAGACAGTCATCTCAGTCAGTCGACCCGTGGCACCTGGGTCTGCCCCGTGACCTCCTGCCAGCGGGCGTTCGACACTTCACGTGGCCTCAGGGTGCACATAGCCTGGCACAAGCGTCGTGGTGACGTCACCGCCACTTAGTGGCGAATGGCGGTTGTTATTGTTGTGTGTGGCTGTGTGTGTGTCTGTGTGTGTGTGACTGTGTGTGTGTCTGTGTGTGTGTCTGTGTGTGTGTCTGTGTGTGTCTGTGTGTATGTGTCTGTGTGTGTGTGTATGTGTGTGTGTGTCTGTGTGTGTGTGTCTGTGTGTGTGTGACTGTGTGTCTGTGTGTGTGTGTGTCTGTGTGTGTGTATGTGTGTGTATCTGTGTGTGTGTGTGTGTGACTGTGTGTGTCTGTGTATGTGTGTGTGTATGTGTGTGTGTGTCTGTGTGTGTGTGTCTGTGTGTATGTGTGTATGTGTGTGTGTATGTGTGTGTCTGTGTGTGTGTGTGTCTGTGTGTGTGTGTGTCTGTGTGTGTGTGTCTGTGTGTGTGTGTATGTGTGTGTATGTGTGTGTGTCTGTGTGTGTGTGTGTGTGTCTGTGACTGTGTGTGTCTGTGTGTGTGTGTCTGTGTGTGTGTGTCTGTGTGTGTCTGTGTGTGTGTGTCTGTGTGTGTCTGTGTGTGTGTGTCTGTGTGTGTCTGTGTGTGTGTCTGTGTGTGTGTATGTGTGTGTGTGTCTGTGTGTGTGTGTCTGTGTGTGTGTGTTGACCGCTGGGTAGTAGCTCTATGACGAGCTTGGGGTAGGCGATGTTCGTGCAGCCAACTTCAGTGCCGCAGATTTCCTTGCACCGCTCAGGAATCACGCATCCCACCTCGTCTGTAGGGAGGGGAGCGGTGGTGCAGTGGTTAGCGCACTGTGTGTGTGAGTGGGGAGTGGTGGTGCAGTGGTTAGCACACTGTGTGTGTGTGGGGAGTGGTGGTGCAGTGGTTAGCGCACTGTGTGTGTGTGTGGAGTGGTGGTGCAGTGGTTAGCGCACTGTGTGTGTGAGTGGGGAGCGGTGGTGCAGTGGTTAGCGCACTGTGTGTGTGTGGGGAGTGGTGGTGCAGTGGTTAGCGCACTGTGTGTGAGTGGAGAGTGGTGGTTAGCGCACTGTGTGTGTGAGTGTGGGGAGTGGTGGTGCAGTGGTTAGCGCACTGTGTGTGTGAGTGGAGAGTGGTGGTGCAGTGGTTAGCGCACTGTGTGTGTGAGTGGGGAGTGGTGGTGCAGTGGTTAGCGCACTGTGTGTGTGTGTGAGTGTGGGGAGTGGTGGTGGAGTGGTTAGCACACTGTGTGAGTGTGGGGAGTGGTGGTGCAGTGGTTAGCGCACTGTGTGTGTGTGTGAGTGGGGAGTGGTGGTGCAGTGGTTAGCGCACTGTGTGTGTGTGTGAGTGGGGAGTGGTGGTGCAGTGGTTAGCGCACTGTGTGTGTGAGTGGGGAGTGGTGGTGCAGTGGTTAGCGCACTGTGTGTGTGAGTGGGGAGTGGTGGTGCAGTGGTTAGCGCACGGTGTGTGAGTGGGGAGTGGTGGTGCAGTGGTTAGCACACTGTCTGTGTGTGTGGGGAGTGGTGGTGCAGTGGTTAGCGCACTGTGTGTGTGTGTGTGGGGAGTGGTGGTGCAGTGGTTAGCGCACTGTGTGTGTGAGTGGGGAGTGGTGGTGGAGTGGTTAGCGCACTGTGTGTGAGTGGGGAGTGGTGGTGCAGTGGTTAGCGCACTGTGTGTGTGTGGAGTGGTGGTGCAGTGGTTAGCGCACTGTGTGTGTGAGAGTGGGGAGTGGTGGTGCAGTGGTTAGCACACTGTGTGTGTGTGGGGAGTGGTGGTGCAGTGGTTAGCGCACTGTGTGTCTGGGGAGTGGTGGTGCAGTGGTTAGCGCACTGTGTGTGTGAGTGGGGAGTGGTGGTGCAGTGGTTAGCGCACTGTGTGTGTGAGTGGAGAGTGGTGGTTAGCGCACTGTGTGTGTGAGTGGGGAGTGGTGGTGCAGTGGTTAGCGCACTGTGTGTGTGTGTGTGTGTGGGGAGTGGTGGTGCAGTGGTTAGCGCACTGTGTGTGTGAGGGGGGAGTGGTGGTTAGCGCACTGTGTGTGTGAGTGTGGGGAGTGGTGGTGCAGTGGTTAGCGCACTGTGTGTGTGTGTGAGTGGGGAGTGGTGGTGCAGTGGTTAGCGCACTGTGTGTGTGAGTGGGCAGTGGTGGTGCAGTGGTTAGCACACTGTGTATGTGGAGTGGTGGTGCAGTGGTTAGCGCACTGTGTGTGTGTGGAGTGGTGGTGCAGTGGTTAGCGCACTGTGTGTGTGTGTGGGGAGTGGTGGTGCAGTGGTTAGCGCACTGTGTGTGTGTGAGTGTGGGGAGTGGTGGTGCAGTGGTTAGCGCACTGTGTGTGTGTGAGTGGAGAGTGGTGGTTAGCGCACTGTGTGTGTGAGTGGGGAGTGGTGGTGCAGTGGTTAGCGCACTGTGTGTGAGAGTGGGGAGTGGTGGTGCAGTGGTTAGCACACTGTGTGTGAGTGGGGAGTGGTGGTGCAGTGGTTAACGCACTGTGTGAGAGTGGGGAGTGGTGGTGCAGTGGTTAGCGCACTGTGTGTGTGAGTGGGGAGTGGTGGTGCAGTGGTTAGCACACTGTGTGTGTGTGAGTGTGGGGAGTGGTGGTGCAGTGGTTAGCGCACTGTGTGTGTGAGTGGGGAGTGGTGGTGGAGTGGTTAGCGCACTGTGTGTGTGAGTGGGGAGTGGTGGTTAGCGCACTGTGTGAGAGTGGGGAGTGGTGGTGCAGTGGTTAGCGCACTGTGTGTGTGTGAGTGGGGAGTGGTGGTGCAGTGGTTAGCGCACTGTGTGTGTGTGGGGAGTGGTGGTGCAGTGGTTAGCGCACTGTGTGTGTGTGAGTGGGGAGTGGTGGTGCAGTGGTTAGCGCACTGTGTGTGTGAAGGGGAGTGGTGGTGCAGTGGTTAGCGCACTGTGTGTGTGTGAGTGTGGGGAGTGGTGGTGCAGTGGTTAGCGCACTGTGTGAGTGTGGGGAGTGGTGGTGCAGTGGTTAGCGCACTGTGTGTGTGTGAGTGGGGAGTGGTGGTGGAGTGGTTAGCGCACTGTGTGTGTGTGTGTGGGGAGTGGTGGTGCAGTGGTTAGCGCACTGTGTGTGTGTGTGAGTGGGGAGTGGTGGTGCAGTGGTTAGCGCACTGTATGTGTGTGAGTGGAGAGTGGTGGTTAGCGCACTGTGTGTGTGAGTGTGGGGAGTGGTGGTGCAGTGGTTAGCGCACTGTGTGTGTGTGAGTGGGGAGTGGTGGTGCAGTGGTTAGCGCACTGTGTGTGTGTGTGAGTGGGGAGTGGTGGTGCAGTGGTTAGCGCACTGTGTGTGTGTGAGTGGAGAGTGGTGGTGCAGTGGTTAGCGCACTGTGTGTGAGTGGGGAGTGGTGGTGTAGTGGTTAGCACACTGTGTGTGTGTGGGGAGTGGTGGTGCAGTGGTTAGCGCACTGTGTGTGTGTGTGGGGAGTGGTGGTGCAGTGGTTAGCGCATTGTGTGTGTGTGGGGAGTGGTGGTGCAGTGGTTAGCGCACTGTGTGTGAGTGTGGGGAGCGGTGGTGCAATGGTTAGCGCACTGTGTGTGTGTGGGGAGTGGTGGTGCAGTGGTTAGCGCACTGTGTGTGTGTGAGTGGGGAGTGGTGGTGCAGTGGTTAGCGCACTGTGTGTGTGTGAGTGGGGAGTGGTGGTGCAGTGGTTAGCGCACTGTGTGTGTGTGAGTGTGGGGAGTGGTGGTGCAGTGGTTAGCGCACTGTGTGTGTGTGGGGAGTGGTGGTGCAGTGGTTAGCGCACTGTGTGTGTGAGTGTGGGGAGTGGTGGTGCAGTGGTTAGCGCACTGTGTGTGTGAGTGGGGAGTGGTAGTGCAGTGGTTAGCGCACAGTGTGTGTGTGAGTGGGGAGTGGTGGTGCAGTGGTTAGCGCACTGTGTGTGTGTGTGGGGAGTGGTGGTGCAGTGGTTAGCGCACTGTGTGTGTGAGTGGGGAGTGGTGGTGCAGTGGTTAGTGCACTGTGTGTGTGTGAGTGGGGAGTGGTGGTGCAGTGGTTAGCGCACTGTGTGTGTGTGGGGAGTGGTGGTGCAGTGGTTAGCACACTGTGTGTGTGTGGGGAGTGGTGGTGCAGTGGTTAGCACACTGTGTGTGTGTGGGGAGTGGTGGTGCAGTGGTTAGCACACTGTGTGTGTGTGGGGAGTGGTGGTGCAGTGGTTAGCGCACTGTGTGTGTGTGAAAGGGGAGTGGTGGTGCAGTGGTTAGCGCACTGTGTGTGTGAAGGGGAGTGGTGGTGCAGTGGTTAGCGCACTGTGTGTGTGTGAGTGGAGAGTGGTGGTGGAGTGGTTAGCGCACTGTGTGTGTGTGTGGGGAGTGGTGGTGCAGTGGTTAGCGCACTGTGTGTGTGTGAGTGGGGAGTGGTGGTGCAGTGGTTAGCGTACTGTGTGTGTGTGTGGGGAGTGGTGGTGCAGTGGTTAGCGCACTGTGTGTGTGTGTGGGGAGCGGTGGTGCAGTGGTTAGCGCACTGTGTGTGTGTGTGTGGGGAGTGGTGGTGCAGTGGTTAGCGCACTGTGTGTGTGTGGGGAGTGGTGGTGCAGTGGTTAGCGCACTGTGTGTGTGTGTGGGGAGTGGTGGTGCAGTGGTTAGCGCACTGTGTGTGTGTGGGGAGTGGTGGTGCAGTGGTTAGCGCACTGTGTGTGTGTGAGTGGAGAGTGGTGGTGCAGTGGTTAGCGCACTGTGTGAGTGGGGAGTGGTGGTGCAGTGGTTAGCGCACTGTGAGTGTGAGTGGGGAGTGGTGGTGCAGTGGTTAGCGCACTGTGTGTGAGTGTGGGGAGTGGTGGTGCAGTGGTTAGCGCACTGTGTGTGTGTGTGGGGAGTGGTGGTGCAGTGGTTAGCGCATTGTGTGTGTGTGGGGAGTGGTGGTGCAGTGGTTAGCGCACTGTGTGTGAGTGTGGGGAGCGGTGGTGCAATGGTTAGCGCACTGTGTGTGTGTGGGGAGTGGTGGTGCAGTGGTTAGCGCACTGTGTGTGTGTGAGTGGGGAGTGGTGGTGCATTGGTTAGCGCACTGTGTGTGTGTGAGTGGGGAGTGGTGGTGCAGTGGTTAGCGCACTGTGTGTGTGTGGGGAGTGGTGGTGCAGTGGTTAGCGCACTGTGTGTGTGTGTGTGTGGGGAGTGGTGGTGCAGTGGTTAGCGCACTGTGTGTGTGAGTGGGGAGTGGTAGTGCAGTGGTTAGCGCACTGTGTGTGTGTGAGTGGGGAGTGGTGGTGCAGTGGTTAGCGCACTGTGTGTGTGTGTGGGGAGTGGTGGTGCAGTGGTTAGCGCACTGTGTGTGTGAGTGGGGAGTGGTGGTGCAGTGGTTAGCGCACTGTGTGTGTGTGAGTGGGGAGTGGTGGTGCAGTGGTTAGCGCACTATGTGTGAGTGTGGAGTGGTGGTGCAGTGGTTAGCACACTGTGTGTGTGTGAGTGGGGAGTGGTGGTGCAGTGGTTAGCGCACTGTGTGTGTGTGTGGGGAGTGGTGGTGCAGTATTTAGCGCACTGTGTGTGTGTGTGGGGAGTGGTGGTGCAGTGGTTAGCGCACTGTGTGTGTGTGAGTGGGGAGTGGTGGTGCAGTGGTTAGCGCACTGTGTGTGTGTGAAAGGGGAGTGGTGGTGCAGTGGTTAGCGAACTGTGTGTGTGTTTGGAGTGGTGGTGCAGTGGTTAGCGCACTATGTGTGTGAGTGGGGAGTGGTGGTGCAGCTGTCTCTGTGTGTGAGTCTGCTGTGTGGGTCTAGAGCCCTAGGGGGCACCCCCAGTGTCAGCTGTCTCTGTGTGTGAGTCTGGTGTGTGGGGTCTGGAGCCCTAGGGGCACCCCCAGTGTCAGCTGTCTCTGTGTGTGAGTCTGGTGTGTGGGGTCTGGAGCCCTAGGGGCACCCCCAGTGTCAGCTGTCTCTGTGTGTGAGTCTGGTGTGTGGGGTCTGGAGCCCTAGGGGCACCCCCAGTGGCAGCTGTCTCTGTGTGTGAGTCTGGTGTGTGGGGTCTGGAGCCCTAGGGGCACCCCCAGTGGCAGCTGTCTCTGTGTGTGAGTCTGCTGTGTGAGTCTGGAACCCTAGGGGCACCCCCAGTGGCAGCTGTCTCTGTGTGTGAGTCTGGTGCCCTAGGGGCACCCCCAGTGGCAGCTGTCTCTGTGTGTGAGTCTGGAGCCCTAGGGGCACTCCCAGTGGCAGCTGTCTCTGTGTGTGAGTCTGGAGCCCTAGGGGCACCCCCAGTGGCAGCTGTCTCTGTGTGTGAGTCTGGAGCCCTAGGGGCACCCCCAGTGGCAGCTGTCTCTGTGTGTGAGTCTGGAGCCCTAGGGGTACCCCCAGTGACAGCTGTCTCTGTGTGTGAGTCTGGAGCCCTAGGGGGTACCCCCAGTGGCAGCTGTCTCTGTGTGTGAGTCTGGAGCCCTAGGGGCACCCGCAGTGGCAGCTGTCTCTGTGTGTGAGTCTGGAGCCCTAGGGGCACCCCCAGTGGCAGCTGTCTCTGTGTGTGAGTCTGGAGCCCTAGGGGCACCCCCAGTGTCAGCTGTCTCTGTGTGTGAGTCTGGAGCCCTAGGGGCACTCCCAGTGGCAGCTGTCTCTGTGTGTGAGTCTGCAGCCCTAGGGGCACCCCCAGTGGCAGCTGTCTCTGTGTGTGAGTCTGGAGCCCTAGGGGCACCCCCAGTGGCAGCTGTCTCTGTGTGTGGGTCTGTAGCCTAGGGGACACCCCCAGTGGCAGCTGTCTGTGTGTTTGAGTCTGCTATGTTGGGTCTGGAGCCCTAGGGGCACCCCCAATGGCAGCTGTCTCTGTGTGTGAGTCTGGAGCCCTAGGGGCACCCCCAGTGGCAGCTGTCTCTGTGTGTGAGTCTGGAGCCCTAGGGGCACCCCCAGTGTCAGCTGTCTCTGTGTGTGAGTCTGGAGCCCTAGGGGGCACCCCCAGTGTCAGCTGTCTCTGCGCGTGAGTCTGGAGCCCTAGGGGTACCCCCAGTGTCAGCTGTCTCTGTGTGTGAGTCTGGAGCCCTAGGGGTACCCCCAGTGTCAGCTGTCTCTGTGTGTGAGTCTGGAGCCCTAGGGGTACCCCCAGTGTCAGCTGTCTCTGTGTGTGAGTCTGGAGCCCTAGGGGCACCCCCAGTGGCAGCTGTCTCTGTGTGTGAGTCTGGAGCCCTAGGGGTACCCCCAGTGTCAGCTGTCTCTGTGTGTGAGTCTGGAGCCCTAGGGGGCACCCCCAGTGGCAGCTGTCTCTGTGTGTGAGTCTGGAGCCCTAGGGGCACCCCCAGTGTCAGCTGTCTCTGTGTGTGAGTCTGGAGCCCTAGGGGGCACCCCCAGTGTCAGCTGTCTCTGCGCGTGAGTCTGGAGCCCTAGGGGTACCCCCAGTGTCAGCTGTCTCTGTGTGTGAGTCTGGAGCCCTAGGGGTACCCCCAGTGTCAGCTGTCTCTGTGTGTGAGTCTGGAGCCCTAGGGGCACCCCCAGTGGCAGCTGTCTCTGTGTGTGAGTCTGGAGCCCTAGGGGCATCCCCAGTGGCAGCTGTCTCTGTGTGTGAGTCTGGAGCCCTAGGGGCACTCCCAGTGTCAGCTGTCTCTGTGTGTTAGTCTGGAGCCCTAGGGGCACCCCCAGTGTCAGCTGTCTCTGTGTGTGAGTCTGGAGCCCTAGGGGTACCCCCAGTGTCAGCTGTCTCTGCGCGTGAGTCTGCAATTCGTGACCGCAAATGCATTCTGACTCACAATTGGCAAACACGATTCCCCGTGGACACAAAAAAAATATAATAACAACAACAACAATAACAACAACAATAACAATAATCAAGTTTTCGGTCTGGCCTCTTGGCGACTCAACGCGGCTGCTGATTGGTTGCCAGAACGGAGGCCCAAACGCTTCCCCGCTAACCGAGTGACCTTCAACGAAACGCGACCCAGAGCGTGACAACTCACGGTAATAATCGATCAGAAAGGTTGCAGCCTGTCTCACCGGGGTAAAGAACTCGGCTGATCATCCCGGGCAGGACCATGAGGTACATTGGGAGCAGCTTCAGGTAGCCGCAGAAGATGCAGCCGGCCTTGACGTGCGTGAGGTTCGAAGCGGCGAGGCATCGCTGGACAATCACCTGGGAGTGTAATGCAGTGGGTGGGTGGGTGACTCAGCCACTCACCCACTCACCCACACAACCACCGACTCACTCACTCACTCACACACTCACACGCTCGCTCGCACACCCACTCATCCACTCACTCACCCACTCACTCACACACCCACTCACCAACTCACTCACACACTCACTCACACACTCACCCACCCACTCACACACTCACTCACTTACACACCCACCCGCCCACACACTCACCCACTCAGACACTCACCCACTCACTCACACACCCACCCACTCACTCACTCGCTCACACACCCACCCGCTCACACACCCACTCACTCACTCACACACCCACCCGCCCACACACTCACCCACTCAGACACTCACTCACCCACACACTCACCCACACACTCACACACCCACTCACTAACTGACCCATCCACCCACCCACCCACTCACTCACTGACCCACCCACTCACCCACTCACTCACTCACCCACCCACCCACTCACTCACTCACCCACTCACTCACTCACCCACCCACACACCCACCCACTCACCCACTCACTCACCCACTCATCCACCCACCCATCCACTCCACTCACCCACCCACTCACTCACTCACTCACCCACTCACTCACTCACCCACCCACCCACCCACTCACCCACTCACTCACCCACTCACCCACCCACCCATCCACTCCACTCACCCATCCACCCACCCACTCACTCACTCACCCACCCACCCACCCACTCACCCACACACTCACCCACTCACTCACACACTCAAACACTCACGCACCCACTCACTCACCCACGCACCCACTCACTCACTCACACACTCACACACTCACCCTCACACTCCACCAACCCACCCACTCACCCACCCACTCACCCACCCACTCACCCACTCACTCACCCACCCACCCACCCACTCACTCACCCATTCACCCACCCACTCACCCACCCACTCCACCCACCCACCCACTCACTCACCCACTCCACCCACTCACTCACCCACTCACCCACTCACCCACTCACCCACCCACCCACCCACTCACTCACTCACCCACCCAGCCACCCACTCACCCACTCACTCACTCACCCACCCACCCACCCACTCACCCACCCACCCACTCACTCACCCACCCAACCCACTCAGCCACCCACCCACTCGCCCACTCACCCACCCACTCACCCACTCGCCCACTGACTCACCCACTCACCCACTCACCCACTCACCCACCCACCCACTCACTCACTCACTCACCCACCCAGCCACCCACTCACCCACTCACTCACTCACCCACCCACCCACTCACCCACCCACCCACTCACTCACCCACCCAACCCACTCAGCCACCCACCCACTCGCCCACTCACCCACCCACTCACCCACTCACTCACCCACTCACCCACTCACCCACCCACCCACTCGCCCAATCACCCACCCACTCACCCACCCACTCACCCACTCACCCACTCACTCACCCACTCACCCACTCACCCATCCACCTACTCACTCACCCACCCACTCACTCACTCACTCACCCACCCACCCACCCACTCACTTACTCACTCACCCACTCACTCACTTACTCACTCACCCACCCACCCACTCACTCACCCACTCTCTCACCCACTCACCCACCCATCTACTCCACTCACCCACCCACCCACCCACTCACTCACCCACTCACCCACTCACTCACCCACCCACCCACCCACTCACCCAACCACCCACTCACCCACCCACCCACTCACCCACTCACCCACCCACCCACCCATTCACCCACTCACCTACCCACCCACTCACCCACCCACTCACCCACCCACTTACCCGCCCACTCGCCCACTCACCCACCCACCCACTCACCCACTCACTCACCCACCCACCCACCCACTCATTCACTCACTCACCCAATAACCCACCCACTCCACCCACCCACCCACTCACTCACCCACTCCACCCACTCACTCATCCACTCACCCACTCACCCACCCCCACACCGACTCACCCACCCACTCACTCACCCACTCACCCACCCACTCACCCACTCATTCATTCACCCACCCACACCACCCACTCACTCACTCACTCACCCACCCACTCACCCACTCACTCACCCACCCACCCACCCTCTCACCCATCAACTCATTCACTCACCCACCCAACCCACTCACCCACCCACCCACTCGCCCACTCACCCACCCACTCACCCACTCACCCACTCACCCAATCACTCACTCACCCACCCACTCACCCACCCACCCACCCACCGACTCACTCACTCACCCACTCACCCACCCACCCACCCACTCACCCACCCACCCACTCACCCACCCACCCACTCACTCACCCACCCATCCACCCACTCACTCACCCACCTACTCACCCACCCACCCACCCACCCACTCACTCACCCACCCACTCACCCACCCATCCACTCACCCACTCACCGACCCACTCACCCACTAACTCACTCACCCACCCACCCACCCACTCACCGACCCACTCACTCACTCACTCACCCACCCATCCACCCACTCACTCACTCACCGACCCACTCACCCACCCACTCACTCACCCACCTACTCACCCACCCACCCACCCACTCACTCACCCACCCACTCACCCACCCATCCACTCACCCACTCACCGACTCACTCACCCACTCACTCACTCACCCACCCACCCACTCACCGACCCACTCACCCACTCACTCACTCACCCACCCACCCACTCACCGACCCACTCACCCACTCACTCACTCACCCACCCACCCACCCACTCTCCGACCCAATAACCCACCCACCCATTCACCC